GTCCCGGCCGCATGGTCCCTTGGCAATGAGCCCTGGCTGGTCTCATTGCCTTACAGGCTTCCCGGTTCGCCTTCACACAGCAATAGCAAACAACAGTAACATGATCACAACTATTAACAGGTCATGGCTGCAACAGAACTGCAGCCATAGGCAACTGTAGAACACCCCTGATCACAAACTCCTCATCATGAGGCAATCATGGAAACCCTGCTTGTAATAAAACCGTTTCATTTATTTCTCACAATCAGGACCAACAACAGCAAGTAACAACTAAACAGGTATAACAGCTATAAATTCAGCCTAGCATACTCCAATCAAACATGTCATCTCAGGCCCCATGACCCTCACATTGGCTGCCAAAAAGGACTGTGGTGGGTTGATCCTGGCCAGCAGCTAAGCACCCACACAGTCATTCACTCATCCCCATTCCAATATGATCAAGAGGGGAGAGAATAGGAAGAGCAAAAGCAAGAAAACTCTTGGTTTGAGATCAAGACAGTTTAATAAGTGATGGAAAGAGGGGAAAAAGACCCAAAAAATTATGCAAAACCCCTTCCCACAAACAGATCAATGCCTATCCGGTCTTTGAGCAATGGTTACTTTGGAAAGGCCAAACCCCCAGGTTTTATTGCTGAGCATGACATTATATGACATGGAATATGCCTTTGGTCAATCTGTCTCAGTTCTCCTGTGTCCCCTCCCAATCTTTTGCCTACCCCTAACCTACTAGGGGGGAAGAATGAGAAACAAAGAAGACCTGAATGCTGTGCAAGCACTGTTCAGTAATAGTCAAAACATCAGTGTGTTATCAACACTGTTTTAGCTACAAATGCAAACCAGAGCACCATACCAGCTGCTATGAAGGTTAGCTCTATCCCAGCTAGACCCAGTACAATATCATAACAGATATGATGGAACAGTCTTTGACAACTGTCCTTGTTACAGGGGCCAGGAACAGTTTATTACTGGGTGGGTATAATCAAAACTGTGTATTCTACACCCTCTATGTCATTTCTGATGGACTGTTAATAATGGATCATTTGCAGCAGCTGCCCAGGGCACACCTAATGATTCAGCTGTGATAACTCCCCTCAGGGGAGGAAATAGCCTCTTCACACTCATCCTGAGGAGTCATCTCTGCTAATGGGCCATACTGGTCTGGCATAATAGGCAGCTGCAACACCCAGACCATCAAAGACTCCAAAAATATCCCATGACTCACAGAGTAAAATCACCCATTGTGAAACTCCCTGCCCTGGGGGAGGTACTGGACATTCCCACCTGAACCTGAGCATATATAATCTGTGGGTTTTGAGACTTCTGGTACCACTCATCTGATTGAGAGGAGGACCAGAACTCCAACAGGACTGCCACTGCCCCTCTTGACAAGACTGTGATCATTACCTGAACAGAAATGCCACCATCATCTGGACCAACAGGGTTTCCTTTCCTTTTACTTTTCCCCCAGGGGAAAAGTAAGCACAGGGGCCAAAATACACTTCTGTTCTTGTCCCAGGGGGCTGGGTTATACATCTGGTTTTGTGGGTAAAAACCAGTTTTTCTCTGTATCGTTGCATCTATCGTAATTTATTTTTATTAAATTGTAACTCTGATTTATAATTTCTCTAGAGTTGAGTTCATTTCTCCCGCTGGTTTCCTTTTAAACCAGCACAACCACTTAGCAAAGAATCACTTTTTCAAAGGATACATTAAAAAAAAAAGAGTTTTCAAAATCAAGTTCTTGTAGTCCAGCTATGCCTGGCTAGTTGAATTCTCCTTTGTGTGATAGCTCCACAATATTTCTTCATACCATCCTTTATAAAAAGTAAACTGAACAGTGACACACCTGATTAATTTAGGATAGAATCATAGAATCAACCGGATTGGAAAAGACCTCTGAGATCAAGTCCAACCCTTGATCCAACACCACTGTGGTTACTAGACCATGGCACTACTTTCTATTTTGACAAATTTCTGCCACTAATAAAAATATTTAAAAATTATTTCTTATAGGTGGACAAATGCTCCAGATGTATTAAAAAAAAAGAACTCTACTTTGTTCATTAAACTTTCCCAAGATTAACTTCAGTCAGTGATTTACTTTTAACTTGACCCTTTAAGTAGGTGTCATAGATTTGACTCTTTAAGTAGGTGTCATAGATTTACTTGTTCTAAAAAAACCAAGGGGGAATTCGTTTTTTCTTTCCCCTGCATCACTGTAAAAGAAAGATGTTGAATGAGCGAGGGGGAGGGTGTTTGCCTAGGGTGATTGACACACTCAGAGGAACTAGCTAGCAGATCCACATTCCAGGATGATAGCCCTCAGAAGACTGGGGGAGGTGCAGGTGATGGGGGTTTTTTTCCTCTCCTTGGGAAACGGCAGGCACTTCACTTTTGCCCTGACTCAGGGAGGGTGTGTGTGGAAAGGCTCCGAGATCATTTTGTTTT